AGTATTTGATTATGACAATTTTGGAGGCTTTCGCGCCTCCATTTAACATTTATGAACCTTTTTGGGTGGAGGGAGGGAGGGGGGTTTTTTGATACGTTTTGCCATGTGTTGCAAATTTTTTTTGCAAACCTAATACACTCTTTCTTACTCTTCTCGACGATGATAAAGAGTGAAATGTTTTGCGAATACTGCTTTCAAGATATCTTATCTAAAGTAACTAGTCGTTTGAAGTTTTGAATATCAGCAAAAAATATTTTTATTTTTTTTTTAATTGTTAAAAATTGTGTTTTGTAAATCATTTACATGAGTGATCTTTATTTAGCATTTTATCTGATAGCATTTGTTTAATTTTTGAGATTAAAAGCGACACTAATTATGTATATAGATGACTGTGTGTATATATGTAACGTTGTAAAAGCTAGATAAGCTTTTTGTAAGAAATGATCTATGAACAACACCAAAAAAAAAAAAAATAATAATAATAAGTAGATTTCAATTTGACGTAAACACCCCCGATCCCTGGAGAATTTTCAATTTTTTCAATTATGCCATTACTGAAATACAAATGATATTGTGGCGACCGAAAACTCTTAACAACAATGTGATGACTGTAATAAAGTCTTCACTTTATTAACAATGCTTCTTGACTTCAGGGACTTCAGCGGCATCGGTAGAAGCCTTCGCAATTTACACCCGATGTTAGCGGATATTTCAATCTTAAACTGTATGCATTTTTGCTTGGACTTTGCTTACGCTTCGCATATTATGAAAATTGAAGATTAAGACTTTCTAGAAAGTACTTAGTCTATTTGCTCTTGCTTAAGTGGTAGTCTCGAATATTCGGCTCGAATTATTTGAAATATTTTCTAAATGAAGCGAAAACTCTTAACTCATAGTTTTGGTTAAAACACCTACAAGAATAAGATAGGCAAGATAGCATGATTAGTAAAGTGTATGTGAGAAACAATTATCACAAACAAATAATGTAATCAATACGCTGTTACCGGTTCTATCCGATTTGCCTGAAATTAAATGCATCCTGCATAACAAAAAGAAGCAAAAGCGTTTTTTTTTTTTTTTTTTGATGTCCAGAGATCCATAAGAATTTTGTGGAGATATTTGTTATCTTGCGTATTTTGCTTGAAATGTATTGCGGTGGCTTGTCTTTCGCGTTGTCAGATTGAAACTCAAATGCGGCTGCCATGGACATACGCCTTAAGGGACTAAATGATTCACTTGGCGTGGAATTTTTGATTCGAGCA